TCTATGAAGGCTGACTCTCTGCCTCTCCATCTATCTGATGGAGCCACGTCAGAACTGCTCTATGAAGGCTGACTCTCTGCCTCTCCTTCTATCTTCAGTACTTGTCTTTTAGTAGCTTACAGAAGTATCATCTCTCCTAAAAATCATCCAAAAAACTGCTAACTCTTCTTTCCTGAATTAATGGGCCTCCTGCTCCCTGTTCACAAAGCAAAGAATCCCTTCCTCATCTTAACAAGTATTTTTAAACTCTATCCATCATCATGAAATTGCATTATTCCACTTGGGATAGTCAAACTCTCTCATCACTCAAAGCTGGTGAAGATTCTACTCGCTCAGGGCATAGTGGACATGTCTGTGTTACACTTACCTTCTGTACCTGCAGCTGAGCTGTGGTCTGGTCTTGTTCCAGGCGAATTGGACCTAGGGCCATCAGTTTTCGTTTTGTTTCAGCAACCCAAGCTAGTTCTGCATCAGCAGCTTGCTCATACTAATAGACATATTAAAGGAAAATGAACAAATTACATGTAACAAAGGTCCACCTCCTTAGAATTATAATTTCTTCAACACAGAAAGGCCTGGATTTTCACTAACATGGTTTATATCTACGATGTAAAGCCAAAACTGGGGACAATTTCATAAAATCATAAATCAAGATGCAGACAATTTGGAAAGGATTATAGTTCAACAAATATGAGCTGATCCTATTTCAAATTCTTTAGAAAGAAGCTACAAAACCCAGTTAGTGGTCCTACAGCTAGAAACAACAATGGAAATTGACACTCTTAAAAATATACTTCTAATCACAATGCTTTTATGAGACTGTGTTCTCTTTCTGTCAGTTCTTTTTCCTACCCATACACTGAAGAGTAGCTTCAGTTGTATGTTTAAATATATAGTTAAATATGACAGCAACAGTTGAGTCGAGTTAACTAGGAAGTACTTGCTCAGCTGAAGAAGCGTAAGAACCCAAAACACCCAACTTTTAAAGGGTCATGCAGAAACAAAGAAAAACTAAGAACATCTTCTATGTGACTGCTATTTAATGTGGGTCCCCCAATTTTTCCTCTTCTTCTTCAACTTTGCCAACCTACACTAATATCTTTTTAAAGAGGAAAATAAGCTCCTCCCAAGCATGATAAATTTCATATTGAAATATCTGGCCAAGTTAGGGATATCACTAAAGACACGTTGGGGTTGCACCTGAAGTCAGAGCAAACTTCTACGTGGTTCACAAAAATTTTGTTCATCATTATGAACCCAATTAGTCATATTATATTTACTTTGCACCATGACACATTAATAGGTGCATATCCAGCTACAAAGGAAAGCAAATAACTTTTTCCAGAAAGCAGGAAGGAAAAAAGATTGAGGGAAATATGACACCTGTGTTTACTGGGAAGGTTCTATTTTGGATGGCTCTGCTATTTTGGTTAGCATATTTGATAGTAATTATAGTTCTTGGTTCCTTCCCCTCTTCCCCCAGCTAATGCTAAAACAGTTGATTATGTCAAACTAAGATTGGGATGCATTTGGACCTTCCGGTCCTAGATTTTTTCTACTTCTATCAGAATCTGCCTCTTAATGGGGCAGTAGCTGAGAAGAACACTCACACAGACTCTACGACAAATTCCTTTCTTCTCAAAAACAGTCAAATATTTTCGGTCAAACTGGGATCCATCCTCACATACCTTTACCCAATCACATCCCATCACTGAAATAATTTGTTGCATCAGATTTTGCTTAGTCTCCTTATTCCTATTCCTGAGCCTGTATTTAGGTGGGTCATAGTTTTGTACTTTATACATACATCCCTGCTGCCCAAAATATTAATGCAGAGGTGTTTCTAATGTTTATAAACACATTACCTGTTGTGATCTCTGAATAGCAGCATCAATTTCATCCACCCTTTGTCCCACAGTGTCACTGACCAACTTGTACTGTTCATTGGCATCAGATACAAGTTTATCCAGCCCTTCTCTGGCTCTCCAGGGCACGAGTTCTAAGAGAGCACGGCTCACTTCATTCACTGTGTCCAACACTAGCCTGTGCTCCATGACCTCCTTCTTTAATTCCTAAGGAGGGAAAAAAAATTTTCAGGCCATTCCTTGCTAAATTAAGCACATTAGCAGCTGTGCTGGGTGGAAAGTGCTATCTCTACCACACATCCCAGCAGGGCTCTGACCTCCTTCCTCCGCTTATTTTTTCCCTTGTCTCAGATTTTTCAATCATTCCACAGCCTGACTTTAGGCTTAGCTGCTGCTTAGAACTGTCTGCAACACTTCTTGGGCCAGACTGTCTCTGGGTAAAACAGAGTGCCTCTTTTTTTCTCCTTACCTCAATAGAAATGATAAAATAATTTTTTAACCACAGGGATTTAACTCAATAAGTACCTACAAAGTATTTCTGCACATCTAGAACTGCACTAGATCCTGCAGGAAAATCAAATATAATCATGAAGCACTCTCTAGAGAATGAGTTACATAAGTAAATTTTAAAATGTTACCATGTGCAGCAAACTTTCCAGGGATCTGTAATTCAGTCTCCCCCCCACCCCCTTCAGACCATAGCAAGTGGTCTTTTTTTTTTTTTTTTTTAAAGATTTTATTTATTTATTTGATAGAGAGAGACTCAGCGAGAGAGGCAACACAAGCAGGGGGAGTGGGAGAGGGAGAAGCAGGCTTCCCGTGGAGCAGGGAGCCTGATGCAGGGCTTGATCCCAGGACTCCGGGACCATGACCTGAACCATTAACCAACTGAGCCACCCAGGCGCCCCATCACGTGGTCTTACATAAGTCTGCCTTTATGTCAAATCTTACTGTCCATGAGCAAACAAGAAACAGATGAGGCAGAACTTTTTGGTTTAGATTTAAGGTTGAGACAGTTGGTGATGAAACTTAAAAATCTGAACTTAAGGATTTTAAGAGGAAAAATTTTATTCCCTTTACTGTGTGAAATGACAGCTCACCTTCTGTCTCTGCTGAAACTGGGGTATGTGCTCCCCTGTGGGAGACTGCCCTCCACTAGCTGCCAGCTCCTCTTCCACCTCCCTCAGCCATCCGGTCAGTTCCTCGTAAGTAGACTGGAACTTGGTGGCCAGCTGCCGGGCTTGCTCTAAAGTTCTGAGGGCCTTGGAGCTAGTGACCGTGATGTCTGCATAGCGAGTCTTGATTCCATCCAGTTTCTCTTGGATAAGCAATACCTCTTCACCTGTGGGGGACGGCGCACAATTATTGGTATTTAAGAGGAAATGAGGGAGTCTCCTTCCGGGGATGAGGAAGTCTCTTTAATCCCCCTTTCTTCTTTAGAGCTTGAATTTTATAGACGCTCTCTCCCTGTGGTAGCAATTTCACCTACCATCCCACATTAAGGGAGGTGGGGGAAAAAACCTTCTAATTGATAAAAGAAGCTGCTTCTGAGATAATAATATTAAGATCTGAATTCAACTGCAGGTGTTTCTAAATGTTCCCAGCATTGTTCCATGATTGCTGGCCTTGGACATACTGGAGGGCAGGGGGAGCCATCTACAACCAAATCTGAGACAACAAGGTCTTTTAGTTTTCAAAAGATTTAGTATATGTGCTGCCGAAGCGAGCACTAGTTTTCAAAAGATTTAGCAGGAAATAGGACCCCAGGCTGCCAGTCTCCAGGAGCACATGGTAATACAATCAGTGAATACCAAGCTTCTCCTATATACAAAGAGAAGTGGCTAGTAAAGGGTGCTTATTTCCTGGGAGATGGGATTGTGTGACTGCAGAGGTGCTAAAAGATGCACTTTAAAGTACCTGTGGTTTGTTTTAGAAGAGCCTGACCATTTTTAATAGCTTGATCTACATTCTTCTTTCTATTAATGATTTCTTCATTTAAAGTCTGAAATGAAAGAATAGCATTAATCTTAAAACTATGGCACAACAAAGGGAAAGAAAGGTGAGACCTTTAAGAGGGCAAGTTTAAAGTAAAGAGACAAATACCAGGTTAGTTTACACATCAGATATTTGATTCCTTCATTAGCTCTTTGGTGACACCACTAAGTACTCAGAAATAATTAAATCTGATATTTATAGGAAAGTTTTCCCCTGTACTGCATAAGAAGAGATGTAGGATTAAATCAGTTTTACCAATCTACTGGTACCAAACCTGAGCCTAAGAAAGGAGGAAGCAGAATTCAGCAAAAAGGTCTACTATGTCCAAAACCAAGACTCAGAAAGTTAAAGAGAAGAAAGCAAGAACAGGCTGACTTCAATCAGGATCCTGCTTAAACAATCTCAATATTTGAAGTCAATGAAGCAGAAGAATCTTAGGTTATTTAAAACAACTACTACAAAACAACTACTTTGCCTATTTTTAATATCCCCAGAGAAATTTCATTAAAATCACATGAAAAGAACAATTTTTTCTTTCTTTTAAGATGACAATTCCTGGAATTTGAGCATATGAATTCTAGAAATATTTCAGAAGTTATAGCTACATGGTCAAACCCTGGGCAATATTTAGGTATTCTGGTTTTGTTAAATTACACTCTCTTTGATAAAACTGCTCAGATGGAAAGTGAGTGATACCTGACCTAATGATGTAAAACATGAGTTGGAGATGAGATGGCCCTGACTGTACTCTAGATCACCTTCTAGAGTTACTGATTCAGTTTAAGTACAGGTATTTCCATGGACTCATCTAAGAACAGATTAGTCCTTAGCAACAAGTCTATACGTGCTTATGTATAAAATTAAGTTGAAATGTTTGGAATTCAAGGGAGAAAAGAAATGAAGAGAAACATGAATCAAAATTACAAAATAACTTCATAACATGACCAATAAAAATGGAAAACGTGAATACCAGATGGTCAGCATGCTGTTTCTGCAGGACATCCTGTCTGTAATCCTTTACGAACACTGAACTGAGCTTGTCCTCAACCTCAGCCAGCCAGTTGAGCACCTCCACCTCATCCTCCCCGAACAGTCTAGCGTTACACAGTGCTTGTTCAAGCAGGGCTGCTTTCCGACAGCCCCGGTCTTGAATCTCACTGTACCGGGCCTGCAAGGAGTCTAGCTTTTCTGACAGCACACCCTGCTCTGCAGAGCATGTCAGGGAGGAGAGGGACTGCCCAATTTTGACTGCCTGGTGCACATCTGTTGCATGGCTTTCTATTTCTTCCTCCAGAGCCTGGAAATCCAGATGGAAAAAATGAATAACAGAAACAGAATAAATGAAAAGTAAACACGAAACAATGAATAACAAATGATATAATAAATAATATAAAAAGTTCACCTACTGAAAGGCAAAAATAATATAAAAAGTGAGAACAAAAGCTGTTTTTTCCTGATGGTAGCTTATTAGTCTATTGCTATTTTTAGTTCAAGGATGGGACTATTCCCATAGATAATTTGACTATATCTCAAATTAAACTTAAAAAAATCCCTCCGCACCCTCCCCCATCAGCCAAACATATCTTTTAGAACGCTACAGGCAGGTAATTCCTAGGCTTTCTGACTGCAGTGCTGTGTTTTCATTCGCCACAGCCTCTCCCTACCTTGTGCCGGATGATCTGCTGCTGTATTTTGGCAGTCTGAGTGCCAACAGGTTCTGAATTGGCAAGCTTTTTCTCTGTGACAGATAAGAAGTCAGAAATAGGCTCAGCTGTCTCATGGAATTGTTTGGCCAGAACCAGGATATCTTCCAGCTGTTTTTGCCTACACAAATATACAGAACAAACTGCTCAGGCGAAAATTCACATTAAGATTGATACGAGTACTATATTCAGTGAAAGACCAATCTTTACCAGGTACATTTTAAGTATCAATAGTAAACAGAACACATATACATAGCACGTTGTGGTTTTAAAGGCTTTCCATAAGCATTGCCTTATTTTGATTCTGTCACCAACTGTGTAAAGGTTGGCAGAATAATTATCCCACCATTACAAAAGAGAAAGCTGACCCTGAAGGCTTAAAGAAAGATCTGTCCAATTCACCCAGTGAGTGGTAACAGTGCAATGGGGATTCGAATCAGACCTTCTAATGCTCTTTCTCCTATGGGACATAGCACATGCATCATCTAAACATGAGACCAAAATAAAGTTTAAAGGAGTCAAAAAAAATCATGTTTTCATTTCTCTCTTCCTGTCACTGCTACCTTCACCTGTGAGTTAAGAGAAGCGAGCATGTGAGGAGCAAAGGCAGACTACTGACTAGAACTCCTCCACCATCTCCCTAGTTCCAGTGATTTCAAGCACCAGAACACAACTTTGAATCCAGATCTAAGGCAAAAAAAATGACCTCCAAGTAGCTGAATTTGCCAACACACATGGCAGTCAAAAGAACTACAGACTTCACAGCTCACTTGGAATCTTAAATCTTACTTAATATAACATCCATACTAAATAAGCTTAGATTTCAAGTATCCTGTAGATTAAAAAAAAAAAACAAATTACAAAGGGGAGAGGAAGCCTGACAGGAAAGTCAAAGAAAAACAACTACAGAACTGGATTAGCATACAGATTAATAATAAAAGGCCATAATTATGTCTTTGAATCATTAAGAACAGACTAAATGCTATACCATTTGAAAAGGCCTGGAAGTATATGATGTACTTTAGTCCAACAAACCTTTACTGAACAGGACCTGTGCCAGGTCCTATGCTGTGTACCCTGGACAAATTTATTTTATTTATTTGAGAGAGAGCGAGAGAGAGCGAGCGAGCGCACGCACTGGGGTCTGGTGAGGGGAGTGGAGGTAGAGGGACAAGCAGAATCCATGCTAAGCACAGAGCCTGATGTGGGGCTCGATCCCAGGACCCTGAAATCATGACCAGAGCTGAAATCAAGAGTCAGACACTTAACCGACTGAGCCACCCAGGCACCCCCAAATTTATTTAATAAGATTTTGCAGGCTTTCAGAATACTGTTCCCAAATTCCAGTTCTCCAGTCAAATTCCCGAAGTTTACACACTCTCAGGAAAATCTGTTCTCTGGACTTGGTGTCTGTGACTCTTGGGCCTCTGCTCTGGTGGAAACTTCTCTGGACCAGCAAGTCCTGAGACCAGAGAACCTTCCACAGCTCTGAGCCACCCAGGCACCCCCAAATTTATTTTAATAAGAAATGATTTAAATATAAAGACTTACCATTTTAATCATCTGGAAATCTAATTATGTTTAAATATAAACAAAAATGTATTTCTAAATACTGTTTTAATTTTAAATTTTTTTAATAAAATGCTTGTTTTTTGTTTTTTTCTTTTTAAGATTTTATTTATCCATTTGACAGAGAGAGACACAGCGAGAGAGGGAATACAAGCAGTGGGAGTGGGAGAGGGAGAAGCAGGCCTCCCGCCGAGCAGGGAGCCCAATGCGGGGCTCGATCCCAGGACCTGGAATCATGACCTGAGCCGAAGGCAGCCGCTTAATGATTGAGCCACCCAGGCGCCCCTGGTTTTTTTTTTAAGATTTTATTTGAGAGAGAGAGACAGTGTGCGTGCACAAGTGAGCAGACGGGGAGGGAGAGAGAGAGAATCCCAAGCAGACTCCCTGCTGGGTGCAGAGCCCGATGTGGGGCTTGATCCCACAACCCTGAGATCATGACCTGAGCTGAAACCAAGAGTCGGATGTTCAGCGGATTGAGCCACACAGGTGCCCCTATTTTTATTATTATTATTTTTAAATGTTGAAGAATATGAAGCTGTTATCTTTATTTTTTAAGTAAACTTTACCCTCAACGTGGGGCTCAAACTCACAACCCCAAGATCAAGGGTCATATGCTCTACTGACTGAACCAGCCAAGTGCCCCTCTAAATGCTGTTTTTAAATGTCAATGTGAAGTACAGAATAGTTTGTTTATGCCAGCCTCCAAAATACATCTTCAATTAATATAACTAAAGCACATAATTTTAAAGGTTATTTAATAAACTAGTATATCATGAAAAAAATTATCCTTGATTTTTATATTTTTCTGACTCATCTCTGGAGTTTGGAATCTGAAAGTTTAAAGAACTCAATGTAATAGGATTTGGGGTAGCAAAGAGCTAACATAATTTAAAGGTATCAAAAATCCAATATTAAAGAATCTAAATAAAAGTCTTTAGGATATCTCTAACAAATGCAGTTGCTCTTGGTATTTCTCTTTAAAATATTGACCCAGAAACTGTTAGGTTAGGAGGATGCAAGTGGGTAGGATAGAAGGAAAGAGTCATAGAAAGATACTTTAGAAATAAATCAGGACTTCAATGAGCTTATGGGCGTAGGAGATTAAGTACATAAAATAATGATACAAGATACAAATAAAGAATTACAGCAGTTAAGAGGAAGATGAAGGCATTCTATGCTTGGGGAACAAAGAAAAGCTTCATAGAAAAGGAGAAGATAAACACAGGTATTTCACGGAAGATGCAACACCATCCCGTAAAGACGCAGAATTAGGAAGTGACAAGATGCTGAAGAATATGGTGTACTTCACCTATAATATAAGTAGTGAGGAGAGCAGAGACTAAGAAATGTAGATTAGGGTCAAACAGCTGAGGGCTTCCAGTGTTGGGTTAAAGAGTTTAGATTTTATCTCATAGGCAACAAGAAGTCATTAAATTTCTGAGCAAGGTAAAGGGGAAGCCGAGTGATGATTCACTAGTGATGAGTTAGTTAGGGAACTACCTCAGGCGAGCTACCTCAAGTGGACTAGCTCAAGTCAGGAACTGAGGTAGGTGACTGGGAATTAGAGAAATGGATGAATAGGGAAGACACTATAGAAGTAAAATTGACAGAATTTAGCACCCTAATAGATGTGGGACATAAAGGAGTGGGGGAGAAAGGGTAAAAATGGGGTTAAGGTTTGAAGCCTGGTAACTGGAAGGTGAATGGTACTATTAATGGAAATGGACAAAGAGAAGATAAAAGCAGTGCAATCTGGAAATAAAAATAGCGTAATTAAAAAAATTAGGTTGAGTTCTTTCCTTTTTGTTTCTCCCACTAATATGGTCGACAGTATTTTGCAACTCAGATAAGAAATAAGCACACCGTGGGGCACCTGGGTGGCTCAGTCGTTAAGCGTCTGCCTTCGGCTCAGGTCATGATCCCAGAGTCCTGGGATCGAGTCCTGGGATCAAGTCCCGCATCAGGCTCCCTGCTCAGCGGGAAGCCTGCTTCTCCCTCTCCCACTCCCCCTGCTTGTGCTCTCTCTCTCACTATGTCTCTCTCTGTCAAATAAATAAATAAAATCTTAAAAAAAAAAAAAAATTTAAAGAAATAAGCACACCGTGGGCCAGCGGAAATGAGACCGAAGAGCTAGCTAGCTGACAACTGCCACTGGCTACCTAGAAAACTGAAAGAATCCTAAATGATCACCTACACTACTCTCATATGGATTTCTAACTAGCTAGCGTTTATTTTTAAAACCAGGGACAATATAAGCTAAAAGACATTCAGGCGACATACTAATAAGCTTAAGTAATGTTGGGGTATATAGCTATGGAAGGAGAAAGCACTTCCTCAGAGGGGAAAAGTATGCTGCCTGTCTTCTGGCCACTTACTGAAGATTGTTCATGCATCTCTTGAATGTCCATATATTTAACAGAATCAGACTAGCTCCTAGATGCAAAAACATCTAATACTGGGATAAGCTATCAGAAAAGAAATATGATAAATTTCAATTCCAAGTATCAAAAGTATTATTTATAAATATGAAGGGGAAAAAAAATCTGTCTCAAAAACTCAGAAAATAACTTGGCTGGATTGCAGGCGTCAGTGTCTGTCGGTTTGGAACCATGATTATATCTCAGCAGAACAACAACACAGAGCGACGAGCCTTCCAGTTCTCAGAAATTCACGGAGTAGCTGAGGCTTACTTCCCGAGAGTGACTGTGATTATGAGGATCATCTCCAAAAACCTATTCCCCTTCATTATACCCCTTCCAGAACACTCTAGGACTCATCCAGGACCTTATAGAGCACCTCAAGGATAGTAAGTCAAAAACTGGACAAAACAAACGTTCTCTGACCCATTCCTCAAAACCCCTTTGGCCTTACCTGGCTGCTGCCTTGCTGAGTAGTCCAGTCCATCTACTTTCAAGACCCTCCAACTGTCCAGTGATTTTCTCTCGATCAGCCAGCTCGGCTGACTGGGCTATTCTGCCTCCTTCTGCTTGAAGCATATCTACTGTGGCCTTTCGATCATCAAGGAGCCGCTGGAGTAACTAGGGCCCAGAATGTTTAAGGAGAATGAAAAGTGGTAACACAAGGTCACTTTAAAATCTGAAATAAGGAAGAAAATACAAACAAACAAAAGATCCCCAAGCCCCACCCTACCAAATCCTAAACTGAATCAAATAACGGTGGCTTTTTTCCCATCCTGAGGCAAAAACATGAGATGCGGCATAGTTGTTGCTACCACCACATAAACTTCTCATACACTTACTTCGGTTTTTAAATGGAGGAGGGACGGTCATTATGTGACTAACAGGGAACTTATTTTGAACCAGGAGAAAAATGCACTAAAATGGAAATTAAACCAACAAAAAAACATAGACAGAACCTTATACATGATATACTGTGTTATTCAGAATATTGCTGACCTTAAAAATACCAAAAATAAGACAAAGCTGTGAAACACTGAAGCAGGACACACAAACGCATGCAACTGTTCGGTCCAGCATGTGCCACAAGAAGCTGGTCAGTTCAAGTAAGATGAGGCAAATCAGTTTCCACCTTTCTTTTCATGATCACACAAAGTAGGTCAGGATTCTCTTAAAACTCTGGAATATGCTCCTGAACTCAAGCACATGTGTTGTCTGCCACTCCCCACAGCTGTTCCAGTTCATCATCCCAACATTCTCACTCACCTTCTGTTCTTGGATCTGTGCTTTCACCACTTTATACTCGGCAGATGGAGGTTTCTGATTGGCTATGAGCTCCTCAGTGTCTGCCAACCAGCTGAGCAACGGCTCCAAGGCATCTTGAAACTTCCCACAATGCAACAAAGCCTCCTGCAGTTGTGCAATCCTTTGTGCGACCTGTATCACAGACACAGAGGCTCGTTATGAGAAAGGAGAGCTTTTTAAATGACAACTGCTCCCCCCACCCCCCGTAACTCCGGATTACAAATGTTAAATTTGTGTTTGCCTTCAGGTTGCAGGGAAACCTCAGGTTGAGATGTGCCTTTTCCAAGCCCTCCATCCCCAGGGCACTAGGTACCCCCTGGCCACTCGCCTTTTTGTTCAGTGTGTTCCATCGAGCGTTGATCTCTTCCATGTCATGTTCCAAACCCTGCACGTCACAGTTTTTTCCGGCACTCTGAATCAACCCCTGGCCAAGTCCATTCACCTGCTGTAGCTTCATTTGAAGGGGATCCACCTGCTCTTTCTGAAACATCTAGATAATTGCAAGCCAAAGATTTAATCTAAAGGCAGCAATCAGACCCTCTCCATCACACAATGACTGATCATTCTTGGGAGATTTATGATTTAACAAAGGAGGAGCAGGAAAAAAAAGAGAGAAAACAAGCCATTTGTACAGGGAACTATCAAGGAAACATGTGGTTTCATATTTCAATACATCCTCCTATGGACAAGTAATTACAGAGAGTTATGGCACTACTTAGGTCTTTTAGTCAATGATTCGTGGTTGGTTGGTTGGTTTCTGCTTGCTTAATTTTTAATGCAAAAAGCCATAGAGAGTAGAGAAGCATCAGCCTCAAGATATCATAAAAGTGTGATGTGTATCAATCCTACAAGGGAAGGATAATACCAAATGACCAGTATTTAGGATTAAAAATACCTTGGGGAACAGCTTTAGCTGACCACTGATACATGCAATGCTCTTCTTTGACTAGGACTATAACTCAATTAGCCAAAACATTATTAATGTTGTGAAAAACGCCAACCTCATAGTTTAATCCCCCTGTGGTCATTTAATTCTATTCTGGTCCAGGGTCATAGACCACACACTGCTAATAATCTTGGAGCAATATTCCTGAGATTGCAAAGGGAAATGGGCCCGTAATACTGGGGAATGTCCTCACCAACTTCAGACACATACTCTGAGATGCAGATATACATAAAGCATTCTTAAATATGTATATCCATGTTCATCATTGAACAATGGAATTTTAAAACAATGTGAAGGAGTGTAACAAACAATGCATGTTTCTTTCTACTGCAGTTAATAAACTCCATTATGACTTAGGAATTATTTGTCTTTTTATCTATTTATCTATTTATTTATTTATTTGACAGAGAGACATTGCGAGAGAGGGAACACAAGCAGAGGGAGTGGGAGAGGGAGAAGCAGGCTTCCCGTGGAGCAGGGAGCCCATTGTGGGGCTCAATCCTAGGACCCGGGGATCATGACCTGAACTGAAGGCAGTCGCTTAACCACTGAGCCACCCAGGTGCCCCTAGACATTTCTAAAAGGAAACAGAGTCAAAAGAAAATGATACTTTGACACTCTAATGGTATTAAGGAAAAGAATGAAATAGATAATTGTCTCAAAGATACTTCTCTCGATTATCAGAGGATAAAATCAGCCACATTCCACACATTTTATAGACCCAATCTGGATCTACTGCCATTCTTTTTTCTTCCATAAAATGTTCCTTCAGTTTCAGTGAGACAGGTGAATCAATTAAAGCCAAAGAATGACAGAAAATGGAAGAGAACAAAAATGTAAAAGAAAAATATAAGCTTGGGTTAAGATTAATTTTGGCCTATATGAGACTACAGATTACACTTGGATTAGGAAACTGATTCTTGAAAGAATGGGCTATGGCTGGGTAAGTGAGTCACCAGGGAGGAAAAGCCCTGGGGAACACTAAAGAAGGAAGGCTACAAAGGTAATTACCAATGGGCTTCATTTTATACTATAATTTGATTACACCATATTTTGTTAGGCAACACTATAAGGCGGTTCAGCTAAAAATGACTGTTACCCCAACAACATGATTCCCGGAAAAAGCAAGTGCTATGATTCCATTTTCTACTAAAGATGTTTTCAACGCAGGAAAATCAAAACAGAGGGGGGAAAAACCAACTCCAACGTTATCAGTTGCTTGGGTGCAACAAAATGGTGGTGGTGGTAGGTGTGGGGGTTGGAAAGGCAAAGAAAGAAAACCGAAGGTGAGGAGGGAAGACGTCAAGTTCACACTGAAGAGCCCCCTTTTATCCAGTAAGCAAATCTTGTCTCATACTTGACATTTAAATTCCTTAAATTTAACTAAAAATTCAGTTCTTCAACCACATTAGCCACACTTCATGTGGTCAACAGCCGTATGCGGCTACGTGCCTACTGTACTGGGCAGGATAGACCGAGAATCTCTCCATCTCGGCAAGAAACTCTATTGGATAGTGACATACGTGACACAGAAAAGTAAAATATATTTAAATAACTTAATCATCTCTTTCATATAACAGAGTGAATTAATTCTTTTAAAAATTTTGCATTTACTTTGTCAATGAACATTTCCTATAGAAGCATTACAGATTCCTTCATTTCTCAACCTCCACTCCATGGATTAAGTTGACAGGGAATGGGTATTTGTCTCAACTTTTTTCCAGAAGTTTGAAAATCTAGGATAGTACTTCTAAATAAATACTATCTAAATATTTATTTTGAACACAAGTGAACAGAATGTTATAGAAAGTACATTTGAAAACACTTGCTCCCTTCTCTCAACTCCCAAATAAAGCTGTTCTGCAAAATCAGTGCTTTTGGATGCATTAAAATTCCTACTCCTCAGTTTTCAATGGGGCTGTGCCATATTATTAACCAACCAGAGCTGGCAGATGTTTCCCAGTGCAGAACACTAGTAAAATTATTGCAAGGGTGTAAGATGCAACTGGGACATAAAACAGAAAATTTCCCAAAGAACTTCTTAAAATACTTTTATCTTTGATAATACCACATTCTCCCAGTTTTCATCCCTGATCCATTTTTTTTTTTAATCTCCTTTGCTCTCTTCCTCCTCCCTTCTAGACCTCCAAATGTTCATCTTTGGGGGTGGGGATCAGGGGAGGATGTCAGTCCTAGGTTCTCTTCTTGGCAATTCTATTTATTCCCATAGCTTTAAATATTAACCATGATGCTTACGGTATGTATGTGTGTGTACATATGTGTGTGTGTGTGTATCCGTACATCCAAAAATGAATCATGGGTACTTCAAAACCCTAACCATTCCAAAACTGAACAGTACCTCCTCCTTTTCTCTTCCCCCAAATCTGTTCTTCCCTAAATCAACAATTTAACTACCGCCCCCATCCACTCAGTTGTACAAACTAGAAGCCAACCTTGGTAACTCCCTTTCCTTCTCCCTCCCTCCCTACATAAAAGTCATTATCAGGTCTTGTTGATTCTACCTCCAATACATATCTTGAATCTAAACAACTGTCTTCAAATCCACTGACATCTCTCTAGTCCAAGCCACCAAAGACAACTGCAGTAACCTAGCAGGCCTCTCTCTTCTCTGTCCTTGATCCCCTATAATGCACTCCACACACTGCAGCCAGTGTGATTTTTTTGTTTTATTTTTATTTTTATTTTTTTTTGCAAACCAGTGTGTTCTCTATTTCATGCCAATCATCCTAAGACAAACTAATAAATTAGAAGACAAAATAAACCTCAGATTTATAAACTCCAGCCAATGCTGAGAATGTTTACTGTGTTGACTGGTTTTCTCTATCGTTAGGCTGAGAGTAATGTTTTAAAAATGTAAAATGTAAAAATGTCCCCCTGCTTGTGTTCCTGCTCTCGCTATCTCTCTCTGTCAAATAAATAAAATCTTTAAAAAAAAAAAAAAGTAAATGAAATCTTCTCACTCCCCTACTTAAAATCTTTATTTCCCCCCCTTTTTTTTTAAAGATTTTATTTATTTATTTGACAGAGAGAGACATAGAGACAGAGGAAGTGGGAGAGGGAGAAGCAGGCTTTCCATGGAGCAGGGAGCCCGATGCGGGGCTCGATCCCAGGACCCTGGGATCATGACCTGAGCCGAAGGCAGACGCTTAACGACTGAGCCACCCAGGCGCCCCTTCCCCCCACCGCCCTTAAAAATCTTTCAATAGCTTCTCATGGCTTTTAAAGTATAGATCCTTTTGAAAATTTCTTAGTCCCCGCATCATGTGGCCTCTTCCTACCTTTCCTGATTTACTTCAGGGCTCTCCTCCAGAACCTTGCTCACAGTGGGCTAGCCATTTGGCCTTCTTTGAGTCCTAATACCCCAAGCTCTTCCCAGCTTCCATTTCCTTTGCCTGGAGTATTCTTCCCTCTGACTCTCTGCTTAAGTAACTTCTTTTTTTTTTTTTAAAGATTTTATTTATTTGAGAGAGAGAGAATGAGAGAGAGAGAACACACGAGAGGGGATAGGGTCAGAGGGCAAAGCAGACTCCCTGCCGAGCAGGGAGCCCGATGCGGGACTCGATTCAGGGACTCCAGGATCATGACCTGAGCCGAAGGCAGTCGCTTAACCAACTGAGCCACCCAGGCGCCCTGCTTAAGTAACTTCTATCAACCTTCAGGTTTTAGTTTTAAAATCCTTTCCCTGACACAGTTATATAAATACCCATTATTTGTTATAGCCTTTATTTTTTATTCAAAAAATTTGTTGTGATTTGCAACTATATATTTGTGTCTTTTTTTTTAAGTTTCTTTTCTTTTTTTTAGTTAATCTCTACACCCAATGTGGGGCTCAAACCCATGATCTTCTGGGGCACCTAAGTGGCACAGCCAGTTGGGCATCTGACTCTTGGTTTTGGCTCAGGTCGTGATCTCATGGTCGTGGGATCGAGCCCTGTGTGGGGCTCCACACTCAGCATGGAGTGTGCCTGGGATTCTCTCTCCTTCTGAAATAAAGAAATCTTAGGGGGGAAAAAAAAAATCACATGCTCTCCTGACTGAGCGAGCCAGGTGCTCCTGTATTTGTGTCCTTTTTGCTTAATATCTGCCTCTGCTAATATAGTATAAGTTCCACATGGGCAAGGACTATGCCAATCCTATTCACTGCAGGAGCCCCAATACCTGGCACAGAGTAGGTATGCAATAAATATTTTTCCAGTGAATGAATGAATACTTGTATAAAAATGGAATTAGGCAAGGCAAACAAATTTAGGAAGGTTCTGCCGATCAGCTGAGTATTCAAACACTGAGCTAAGATTGTAGGGCTCTCCAATTTTTGCCTTAAAAGACTTTCTTGTAAATTTTGAATTTTATAGAACCCCTAATTTTATACAAAAGATTTTTTGCCTTCCATTGAAATAAGACTGAGAAAGTCTGCAAAAGAGAAGAGGGTTTAAATAACCACAGATTGCTCTCAGTGGGCGTAGGATCCCACTAAAGGGATAGCAAACAAGTTCTAGCATTTTGGTTCTTCTACCAATCACTCGTTAATACTATTAGAAAATTTATATCAGGGCACCTGGGTGGCTCATTTGGTTAAGCAGCTGCCTTCAGCTGGGGTCATGATCCCAGGGTCCTGGGATGGAGCCCGTGTCCCTAGTGTGTTGGGCTTCCCTGCTCAGCTTCTCCCTCTGCCCACCCCCACCCCTCATGTGCTCCTGAGCATGCACACACTCTCTCAAATAAAATCTTAAAGAGAAAATTTGTATCTATTTTAATTATGTATACATGTGTGCATTTGTATATACCCAAAGACATACAAAATCTAAATCACATTTTGGGTATGATCCCTTGCTGAGTTCTAAGTGTTTACGTAGTAAAATGACAGGTTCAGTTGCCTCTAGGAACCCTTTGTGAAGAAATGAAATCCATACAGCTCTCATCTTGGAAAAACTTTTTCTCTCAATAATATTTCACCAGTTTAGCAAAATCTGTATAGTCATGTTACCTCTATAATGATATCTGTTTTGTTTCAGTGAATATTTTCAAAATAGCCTCTCTACATTCTTATCGGTTAACATCCTGGCTGGGGCAATGGCTTAGACTTCTTCTTTTGTACACAAATGCAGACATTAGCTTACCTGCAGATATTCCATAAAGTGACCACACTTCAAAGATGATAGACAACCTTGCAACCCACCACTGCCTTCTCCTGTCATTTTATCAGGCAGTATTTCATAAAATGATTACCCCCTGTAGCGGGAGGGATCCTCAGAAATTATCTAGCCCCATTTACTAATTTTGTAGGTGAGGAAACAGATCTGAGACTGATATTAAGGACTCCTCTGAACTTTTCCTTTATGCAGATTTGATGAGCTCCTTACAAATTTAATTCCTGTATTTCATTGATTATTGCTGCAGGCTTTATACTAAAAAAATTCTGTATAATCAAGAATGCCTGTGACTTCTGGGATCCCGGTGTCACTCCCAAATTCAGTAAAACTCAGAAAACGGAATCATTCCATCAATCTGAAAGGTGATGCATTATAGCCTCATGGGATGCTAGATTACAAAATATTTGGTTAAGCCCAAGGTGACACCACCACCACTCAGCTAAACAGGAGGACCTGTAGCAAAGTTGGCAGCTTGTGACCTGCAATCAAAATGACTTTTCGTTGCTGGTAGCTGCAGGTTTAATTGGTGCTTTAGCCAACAAGGCTGCCCAGAAAGGCTCTGCCATGGGTGGATGTGAGAACCCATCTCTCTGTAGCAACCACGGATATTCAGGAGGCTGACGTTCACGCCGTCAGTCAACAGTGAATGCCTACTACAAGGAAGGCACTGTTATGGGCCTTGGGGATGGTATAAAATAAAAATCACCTCTGTACTCAGTAATCCCCAATTGTATTAGATAGATGAAACTTCTACCTCCTTCATTCCCTACCACTGATCAAATGACACTGGGGCAGTGAACTGTAGAAAGCAGCCAATCTTAAGTGTCTTTGACTAGGAGTGCTCAAGGATGTGAACACTGTTCCCATCAGTTTCCTAACACATTCCATTCTCTAACATTAAGAATCTCAGAACCTTGGAGCTAAGAGAGAGGCAGGAGGACATTTAATCCAATTCCCTTACTTAATGGATTAGGAAACAAGAGGTCCAAGAAAAAAAGAGTGACTTGCTTCAGGACACAAAGTTTAATGAGATGGCTAAAATATCTCTTTTCGTAAACATTGTTATACCTTATTCTGGCTTTAAGAAACACACATTTGTATTAAAAAGCTGTTATTCATAGGGGCGCCTGGGTGGCTCGGTTGGTTGGGCGACTGCCTTCGGCTCGGGTCATGATCCTGGAGTCCCGGGATCGAGTCCCGCATCGGGCTCCCTGCTCGGCGGGGAGTCTGCTTCTCCCTCTGACCCTCCTCCCTCTCATGCTCTCTGTCTCTCATTCTCTCTCTCAAATAAATAAATAAAATCTTAAAAAAAAAAAAAAAAAGCTGTTATTCATACTTCTAAACATTGCTTTCACCCAACCTGTTCTGGTGAATTCTTTCAACTAACCAACAGCTCTGTGGAAGAGAAAGGGGGAGGATATTGACAGTGACTGAAATCTTATACACTTAGTGTTTTCCATGGGTTATCTCATTATCCTCACAGGATTCTGCCTTCATAAATGAGCAAACTGGAGATCCAGGACATCTAACTTGCCAAGTGCTAAAAAGTATCCCAGTTCTCTGACTGAAGCCCACACTCCAGCTCCAACCTCACTTCTGACATCACTGATTAAAAAATAGCCTCTTGATTTAGGACAGAACATGCTCACTGCCATTTTCAAAAGAGGAATCACCTTCCCTGCTAATAATCTTTTCCAAAATGTAAACCAACAACTGTTTACATCCCTGTTTTCCTTGGGCTTGGCTTATCACTGAAAAAAACAAAACAGAGGACGAACTGTAAAGTTTTTCACCAAATGAAAAACATATTCTCCTCATAAATGCAATAGAAAGACCAGAAAAGCCCAGTGCCCCAAAGAGAACCAAAGTAAGGACTATGTCCTTTCTAATCACTGCTAACTCAGAGAACTTGCAAATCTCAATTTACTCCCCAGATCCTTTCCCAACGAAATGAGCAACAATTACCTCATTTGAATTTAATCCATCAGTTGCAGCCAGAGGCACTTTCCCATGCAGCACCGTGCCAGTTACCTCTTTTATTCCAAATCCTGGGGAATCAAGGTCCTCCTTGATCCACATTCTAGCAGGGGAAGCCTCCTCTAAAACAGAAGTTTCTTCTTCTGAGATAGGCACTGAATCAGTGTGGGCAGTATCTCCCAGGAAGGGTACACCAGCAGGGAACACTTCCTCCATAGCAGGCACTGCAGAAGCTGGGGTGACAGGCTCCTCCGGGGTGGGCACTCTAACAGCTGGGGCTGCAGGCTCCTCTGGGGTGGGCGCTCTAACAGCTGGGGTGACAGGCTCCTCCGGAGTGGGCACTCTATCAGCGGGGGTGACAGGCTCCTCCGGGGTGGGCGCTCTAACAGCTGGGGTGACAGGCTCCTCCGGAGTGGGCGCTCTATCAGCTGGGGCTGCAGGCTCCTCCGGGGTGGGCACTCTAAGAGCTGGGGTGACAGGTTCCTCCGGGGTGGGTGCTCTATCAGCGGGGGCTGCAGGCTCCTCCCGGGTGGGCACTCCAACAGCTGGGGTGACGGGCTCCTCCAGGGTGGGCACTCTATCAGCTGGGGTGACAGGCTCCTCCGGGGTGGGCACTCTATCAGCTGGGGTGACGGGCTCCTCCGGGGTGGGCACTCTAATAGCTGGGGTGACGGGCTCCTCCGGGATGGGCGCTCCAACAGCTGGGGTGATAGGCTCCTCCGGGGTGGGTGCTCTAACAGCTGGGGTGACGGGCTCCTCCGGGGTGGGTGTTCTAACAGCTGGGGTGACAGGCTCCTCTGGAGTGGGCGCTCTATCAGCTGGGGCTGCAGACTCCTCCGGGGTGGGCACTCTAAGAGCTGGGGTGACAGGCTCCTCCGGGGTGAGCGCTCTAACAGCTGGGTCTGCAGGTTCTTCCGGGGTGGGTGCTCTATCAGCTGGGGCGACAGGCTCCTCCGGGGTGGGCGCTCTAACAGCTGGAGCGACAGGCTCCTCCGGGGTGGGCGCTCTAACAGCTGGAGCGACAGGCTCCTCCAGGGTGGGCACTCTATCAGCTGGAGCGACAGGCTCCTCCGGGGTGGGCGCTCTATCAGCTGGGGTGACAGGCTCCTCCGGGGTGGGCGCTCTATCAGCTGGGGTGACAGGCTCCTCTGGGGTGGGTGCTCTAACAGGTGGGGCTGCAGGCTCCTCTGGGGTGGGCGCTCTAACAGCTGGGGTGACAGGCTCCTCCGGGGTGGTTGCTCTATCAGCTGGGGCTGCAGGCTCCTCCGGGGTGGGCACTGTAGCAGCTGGGGTGACAGATCCCTCTGGGATGTCATCCCTTGTGGTGGGCTCTGCAACAGCTGGTGCATCCTCCTCCATGATGGTCGCTGCAGCAGCTGGAGCAGTCCCTTCAGAAGCAGGCACTGCAACAGCTGGGGCAGCAGCCAGCATATCCTTCTCTACAGTGACCACTGAAGCAACTGGGACACGTGCCTCTATGGTGGCCACCGAAGTAACTGGTACGTCTTCCCCCGGGAAAGGCACTGCAGCAGCCACAGCAGCTCCCTCTGGGGCAGGCGCCGCAGCATCCGGGACACCCTCCTCTGGGCCGAGCACTGCAGCCCCTGGGGCAGGCTTCTGTGGGATGGGTATCCATCCCTCCAAAATGGGCTCAGCACTACTAGCCCTGGTAACTTGTTCCTCCAGAAAGATACTCAGCAATGATTCTGAACCTCTCATTTCTGTCTCCCCGCCCTCCGATGATGCCACGTTCAGCTCGGGCTTTGTATCATTTACAGCTTCCACTCCATCTCCGCTCTGTCTCAGTCCACCAACCAGCAGGGGCAGATTCAGAGTATCTGACTCTGCGGACTTCCTCTGGAGATCCTGGAAGATCTGCTCTGGGAAGGCTCTGTGAACATATGCTGGGGCTTGATCCTCCAAAAGCCTGGCTTCGTAACCCAGCTCTTGCCCCTCCCCACCCTCATCACAAACTTTCTCCTTGGACAATTCACAAGGATCCACGTTTCCCAAGGAAGTCAGACTGCTATTTTCTCGATTAATAGCTCCTTTCTCACTTTCCAAATGAATCTCATCTGTTAGTAAATGTGAATCACATGAGAACACCTCTACTTCAGGTCCTGAGGTAACATCCGTTAGTTCATAGCTAAAAGCACGACTGAGGGGGACCCTCTCAACGCACTCTTCAACATTCCCCTCAGGGTGACTGCAGTCTACCTGGGACAAACTGCCATTTTCTTTGGCCAGCTCAGCTACAAAGCCTGATAAGTCGTCTTCCTGGGAAGCCCTGTGATCAGAGTTGGGCAGTCCTCCTGGGTCAAGCTTTCCCAGTGACTCCAGATCAGCTGGGTGTCTGAAATTAAATTCCCCTACAGTCTCGGGGCTAGAAGGCACTTTTTCACGCTCCTCCTCACTAACAGTGGAAGTGTCTCTCCTGGTATCAGAGCAGACAATAAGTTCCATAGCATTAGGCACCTGAGAAGAATCCAGGGCATTAAAATAGTCACAATCCAATCCAGTATCAGAGTCTTTTACCCTTACATTTAAAAGGCCCATGCGTTCCTCTTCTAAGGCAGCCCCTGGAAAATGACTAATTACAAGTGCATTTTCTGCATCCTGGGATGGGGCCAGCCCTTCAGAAGAGGCTTGATTCTCTAGCTCAGCTAGAGGAGTTACTCCTTCTTCACATAAACACTCCTTTTCAAGTTCAAGAAACATCTGCACTGAATCTGTGTCAGAGAGCTGCTCTGAATCAAGAGGACCAACAGTACATTCTAAGTCGGAAACAAGACCCTCCAGCCCCTGAGCAGTTCTGTTTGTCAGCTCCCCTACAGCACTCTCACCTGTGAGAACACAACTGTAATCCAGAGGTGTATCCTCGAGAACAGAAGCCAAATGGTTCTTAGCTGACTGTAGGTCATCAGAGCAACAAATCTGACCAAGAGCTAGGTGGTCAACAGTTCTCAAGACAGCAGCTGAGCAATCGGTCCCATCCTCTGCCACTGCTAAAGTGTTTGCTTGTTCTCGTCCTTCAAAAATATCTGCCAGGCTGTTCTTTTTCTCATCTGCCGTTAGAAAAATCTTTCCTCTCTCTGACAGTTTCTCTCCCTCCCACTCCTCCTCAGCTTCCATCATGATCCATCGCTCATCCTCCTCAAACTTTAGCTCAGACTCTGTTTTCTCTCTCAGGCTGGGAGTTATGAGAATATGCAATTCTGGATCCAATAGCTCTTCACTCAGGCAAGGGGAGAGAGGCGGCAGTTCCACGGTGCAGGCTGTGTCCCCAAGGGGGTGCTGCTTCTCGCTGAAGCCTCCCTTAGCCAAACTTTTCATGGCTCTGGGCCAGGTTGCACTTGAGAATCTGTGTTCCTGCATTACATCTGTGCTACCACTTGCAGCTGCAGCTTCTGATTCTAGAGGCTGGAATTCATGGGGAGAGCGCTCCCTGTGCGGCTGCAATCTGAAGTCTTGGCACTCCCCGCTTAAATTTTTCACATCCTGCACTTCTGGAGTATCTATGGATTTGGACACATGTTCCAGAGTCACTGACTCTGACTGAGGTTCCCTGTGGTCCAAATGACCAGAACTTTCTGTTAATGCAGAACTGGATTCCTTCTTCTCTTGCAAGGAAGGATTTGAAGCCCCAGCTTCTGAAACCTCACTGAGAGAAGCTTCTATCCTTTCTGCAAATTCTGGGAAATTGGGTGGCATGAAGGACTTCCATGATCTCCTGTTAACATTATCTTTGCGTTCTGCATTTGGTCGCCTTCTGGGTGGCACGGGTGCTGACTTCTGCACATCGCTGCTTAACTTTAGTGCATCAAATATTATCCTCTCATCCAGCTTTTTGCCTTCTGGGGCTCTAGATTCAAAAACATTAGATGCTGCTCCTAACGTACCATTGCTGGATATAGTACCTCCCTCCATCTTTTCCATGGTGCTTTTTGATGTCTGATTAAGCTTTGACCCCTGGTCAATTTGTTCATTTATCCTCATTGTATCATATATAGATCGCTGTGGAACGTAACAATCCTCTATATAGCCATCTTCTTCCTCTCCTTTCCCCAGGCAGGTGGGGTTCTGCCTTAAACAGTCTGGCCTGCTGAGTGGCTTACCCATACTTTTTCAATCAAGATGAAACATCAACCTTTTAAAAGTTTTTCACCGGTTACCCAAAAATGCATTCTGCATAAGTTAAAAATCCTTTTACATGTTCACAACCGGGGACCACCAATTGGATCTGCCCTCCAGAAAGGCCTGCAAGTCCAACTCTGAAACCATTCTGGGAGAAGCTCTAAAAGAAACAGCTTTTTCCTCACAGGCTAACAGCCTCATAGTTGCAGACAGTTAAGTGGTATTAATTTAGTCAACAAACAAAATAATTCCTTGCATGGCTTCTTTTGTGTGTCTTTTAAGAGCACTGCTGTTTCTAATTCAGTCAGTAAAAAACAACAAAAAAAACCCCATCTGATACTGACAAGTCTTTTTCAGAATCTAGTTCCACTCACTTCTCACCCAGAGTTGGAAGAAGCTTTATACCAATTGTGTCCTTTAATAACAATGGCACAGCCTCCCCAGTCTTCAAGAATGGCCCAAGCTCCTAAGAATTCCTTTCATTTTATCCTCAGTTCCAGTCCTGGAGAGTCCAGCTGGTCTGAATTAGCCCTTCGTCCTCCCTAGTTCGGGTGTTTGCATTTGAACTGCGCTGGTCGGCGGATATTCCTGCAACTTTAAACACAGGAAGTCCTTCATTCGGGGCCAGCTTGGGGCTTCCTGTCTCCAAAACATCATGGCATTGTTGTGGCTCCCAGAACAGCCCTGCGCTGTGGCCGCAAAACAAGGCGAGTGGAGCCCGGCGCCGGGCCTTTGAGAGGCCGGCAGGCTGCAGCAGCGGCCGAGGGCCGGTCCAAGGGCTCGCTCAGCGCGGCCCACTCCCCCGCGCCGTGCCGCGCGCCCCGAGGGCCAGGGATGCCTCACCGCAGGCTGGCAGGTGGCTCCGGGCTGCGCCGGCCTCCAGTCCCGCGCTCAGGAAGTTAGTTTGTCCCTCCGGCAGCTGAGTCCCGCGTGCTGTGGGCGCCGCCTCCCCCGCCGCCGCCAGTCCCCGGTCCGCAGCCGCCGCGCCGTGGGCTGCATGTCAAGCAGCCGCCTCTATTCTCCGCCACCGCCGGCCCCGCGGCCCCGCCGTCCTCCCCGCCCGCAGCTGTCACGGTCCCGGCATGCAAACTTCTGGCTGGGAACAAAAGGCTCCGCTCGGGCCGGGCGGGGGCTAGCCCTCCTCCCTAGCACAGAGCGGCCCGCTCACCCGCCGCTCGCTGCAAGTGCTGGGCTGGCGGGCGGCTCTCCTCCCCCTTTCCCGCGCCGCCGCCGCGCCGCGCCGCCCCGCCCCGCCCGGGCAGCCCCCCTGGAAGCCCGGGAGCGCGACGCGGAGAGCCAAGGGGAGGAGGGCGGAGGCGGAGCCGTGGCGGGGGCAGGGAAAAGGAGCGACCCGAGCCGAGAGGAAGGGGGCGGCGGAGAGGATTGGAGGCCGAGGCGGAGGGGGCGGCGCTTCCGCGCGGTTCGGGGCCAGGAAGCCGGGGCTCCAGCCGCTCGGCTCACAGAGCCCACGCCCACCGCGCCCCAGGGCCCGAGGGAGAGCCCCGCCCCCAGAGAGGGCGAGAGGAGGGGGGCGGTACCCGCGCGAGGCTCGGCCGCGCCGCGCAAATCCCCTGACAAAGGAAAGCCCCGCCCTCTTCCCTCTGGCCCGACCCCCTGCCACCGCCCCCGCACTCCCCCAGCCAGCGTCCCGACCCGCCGGGCTCCGAGCCCAGCCCAAGGGCGAGCGAACCCAGAGGGGCGCCCCCGCCTCCCCACAGCCAGCGGGTTCTGGCAGGGGCCGCTCGGGGCCCCATCTGCCGGCGGGGTCGCGTCGGTTGCCGCGGGCTGCAAGCATGGCTCTCGGCTCCAGCTCCAATGTCCTAGTCCCTCCAATGTCTGTCCTAGTCCCTCCAATGTCACCTTTAGCGCGCCCCTGCCGGGCCCAAGAACACTAGCCTTAAACCCGGCACTTTCCGGTGTCCGAAGGCATTCTGTTACGCCCAGAGGCCAAGTTATTGGATGAACTCTAGGCACCTTCTCTCTTTCCCTTCTCCAGTACATCAGGTCTCGGTCCATCCTCCCACCAGAATTGCTCTGCCCGCAGACTTGAGAGGTGGCAATGACTGAGGAAGGGGGGCGGGGCGGTGGAGACGCAGGCAGCAGAGACCCACGCCCTAACACCTGGGCTCCTTTATTGCTGCGCACATCCAAGGAAACCTGAGCCTCCCTGGAGCCAGCTCAAAAGCATGCGTCTGTATTTCAAGTCTCAAAACGGAAAATACGAGAGAGAAAAGTGGCCAACAATCCGGGCCACAGTTTTTGGCTTTTAGAAAAGCCATCTAATCACCTGGTGACTTATTTAAACCAGGGAAGTTCAAAGGGCAACCCAGGAAACTGTCCAACAGAGACAGCTGCATTTCTGAAGGGGTGCAATACTCTGCTACCTTTGTGATGGTCATTTTCTGATTTTATGAAGGAAAAGCAACAAAGTCTATTAAAATTTCTGAATCTCTTTTGAACCATGTGGTCAATATAGATGGTTAAACTTTGTAAAAGTTATTTCTATCCTTTACACAAACAGTGAGTGAAGCCAATAGTTGGCACATGGAGATCTGGCAGTGAACCCCTGAGCTGAGCCTTAGGCTTAACTTAGAGAGCCAAAGAGGTCCTTGGCAAAAATGAGGTGTGGGCTGAAGCCTTTGGTCAGAATTCAGCAACTAAAGGGGTGCCTGCCTGGCTCAGTCGGTAGAGCATGTATGCCACTCTTGATCTCGGGGTCATGAGTTCTTAAAGAATTAAGAAACTCAAAAAAGACCGTTTACTGGCAAAATGTGTTACACTTCATTTCTCACTTCAAAAAGAGACTGCTGATCAATTCTGCCCTCTCAAATCCAAAGGACTATCTCCCCATCTGTAAACTGAAGGGGAAGGGGATAGACTAGATTGTGCCTTGATAGCCTTTCTAACTTTTTCTTTAGTTCTAAAAGTTTTAAAGAAGCCATACCAGAATCCTGAGTCTTCCTGGTCCTATACTACAAGATACTAGAAACCTCGTCCCCTGAGGAACAAACAGTAGAAAGAACCAAGAATGCTTGACCTAGAGAAGGTTCCAGGCAATGTGATCAACGTGAAGTATCTGAAGGGCTGGGATGTGGGAGGAAGGAGGGTTGTTCTGGATGTCTCTTTAAGCTGGCACACTAAGATCCAAGGGCAGATTTGGAACCAACAAAAAGCTTTTTCACAGCTATTCAAAGAATAGAGTGTCCCCTAAAGTGATGACTTTCCTGACCCTGGAGGTGTTTGAGCAGAAATTCATGCAATCATTTGGCAAGGATTTGGGGAAACAAATCCTCAATCAGTTTGTTCAGGATGAATTTTAAGGTCCCTTCTAACTCTGACACACTGTGATCCTAAGGTACGATCAGCTTACAGATCTGATACTTAACATTTCAGGGAATCTGGGTCTTAATTTTCCTTTAGTTATTCAGTACAACTGGAAAAACCCAGGGAAGGCAAGATCAATTTCACTAGCAAGTCTCCCTGGCCAAATACACTCACTTAAGTGTTCAGATATCATAACAGACTGTTTAGTGTGCCAGGCCCCTCTGGTTGGAAGAATCTGAGGAATTCTGGCTCTTGACTAGGGTGGGTGGTTATTCCATTATAAAGAATGATCTTGATGTGGAATCACAAACTTCATGGCCAGAAATTCCTTTCCTGTTTCCTCACCAAGTCAGGTGCCAACTAATTCAGTCTTCTTAATCCCTCCCCACACCTATCTATCTACCTTATTCTCACTACTCTGGCCAAATGCTCCATATTGTAATATAAATAAGGAGGGCATTTTAACAACTATGAAGTTCAAATTCGAAGTATTTATTGGCTTAAGTTACACTCTCTCACTAAAGTGTTAAGAGACTATTATATCGAAATCTCCCCAAAATTCAAACACAGTCTTATAGAAAGGATTACATAAAGTTGCCCAATTCTCTCTCCCACCACAAAAAAAGAAGCCAGAGAGTGCTATCTGAGTGCACTGCTCCTTTTTTTATCATCAGTATGTGTTTAGGAAGAAATCAGGAAAGGAAGCATAGGCTCTTTCCTCCATCATGTCTTATTTTTTTTTTTTAATGTGTTCATGAGTTTCTCTTTAGTTTTGGTATGTGGAACTCTGCCAATGCCATCTCAGTGACTGAAATAAATACCTGATATAGCTTTCAGCCTCTTGTTACCCTGATAGCTCCAACAAAAAAAGCATCTGTTCATTTCACATGCCGTGTGTAAACTTTTTAAAAGACAAGTACAGGGAGCTCCAGAGAACCTCTTTGGATGCTTCCCCCACTCCTATAGCCACCAATATAAGTGCTGAAGCCAAATTTCAAATTAGTTTCCAGTTAGTTGATTACAGAGTTCAAAGAATTCTCTACTTATATTGAAATTCCTAAGAACGAAATTTGGTGTCAGATTTTCTTTCAGTGAACTTATTAGAAAGAACAATCCTGGCCCTTCCTGCTTTCTTCTTAATTAAAGACAGCTGGGTGGAGTCTCCTCACACCCTAACACAGCTCCCTCTCCAAGTTTTGAACCCAACATTTTGCCTTTGCTCCAATCTTAAACCACCAGCCCCATTAGGACAATCTGGAGACCCAGATCCACACTTCCCCAGATTCTTTAATGCCTTTTCATGCACCTCTGTCTTGGAGGATTAGTTCTGATTGGAGGGGGATACAGAAGACTGGTTACATCTTGCACATTTTAAATCTACAAAATGCCTTTCATCTTAGGCTCGCTAGACTTTACAAGCATTTATTTAGTGGCAAGTGGAAACGCCACAGTATTAGTCTGTACCTGTTGGGCATCAGTAACTAGCATCCTAAGGTGTTTTTATTACATAAAGATGGCTACAGAGTGGCTCATTAAGCAATACAACGTGATGTGAAGCTTCTTTTAAATGGGATACTAAGGATTTTGATGCTCTGTGAGCTCACATGTATTTCCAAACCCATGAGAAAACTTTCCACACACTCTGCAGGAACTCTCATGACCCCTGTGAGCCCTTTCCTGCTTGCAGACTTTCCAAAAGACAGTGTATTAATCCCTCTTTTAGCCACTCAACAAGATAGTAATGACAAAAGCACGGGGCTCTGCGAATTAGAAAAGACTGGACAGAAGAGTGGAGGGAACGAAGGCAGGGGAAGTCAGGGAAGGCTTAATGGAGGGAATTACATTTACTCACTAGGATGTGGATATGTAGGGATGGTGAAGACAAGATTTCTAAGTGAAATGCTAGAGACAGGGACCCTAAAGAAGCAAATTCAAAGTCAGCATGGCTTAAGTACAGGGTGTATGAAAGGGAAAAATGAGAGGTCAGAAGGGTAAGTAGCTCAAGGCCAGTTCATCAAGGCCATTGAATGCCAAGCACTAATTTATGCTTTATTCAGAAAACCATTATGATATTGAGATTTACTTATTTAAACTTACTAGGGGCTCATGAGAGTTACTGAGTGGTGTGAGGAAAGTTTCCCAAGAATCTGGGACTGGGTGCTCATTAAACTGCCATTTAATATACATGATCTCATTTTAAAAATCCAAATTCTTAAATTATAAATGAAGCTTGAGGTGGTAAACTTACTTGTCCAAAGTAGCATAGCTATTGAAAATCCAGGCTGTTAAGATTTGAGCTTATGTCTGATGATACTGCATTGGTGTATGTACAGAATTAGCTGTAGATGGGGGAGACTGAAGGTAG